CATCATCATCATCATCATCATCATCATCATCCTCACTCGGGCTCACTCATACTCAGACTCACTCGCACTCATGCTCACCCATACACACGCTCCACACTGCCCTGCCCTCTGCCCTCCATCCAATGAAACAACAATGCGGGGCGACAGAACGCCAGACAGACCAGCTGCGCAACATGCACCAGCTTGCGATAGGCAAGCACACGCAGTGGACCTCGGCCTTGAGGACAAAACAGCAGCACAACTGCCCTGCCCTCCTCCCTGCCCTGCTCCCGAGCCTTCGCCCCGCCCCCCGTCCCCGACCTGCCCTCGTCCCTGCCCTGCGCTCTCTTCGCTGCCCCCCTGTCCCTGCCCCGACGTGCTCTGCCTGGCAGCGGGGGGGCCACAGGGCGCAAGAGCAAGAAGAGTGGGCGTCGCTGAATGGGGGGGGCGACAAGTTTGAAGGGGCCCTGGGACACAAAGAAATGCACACAGACAAAAGGATTCCCCATGTTTTCCTATATTTTCAGGGGGTTCTGTCTTCCCCCCCCCCCCGCTGCCCACATTTTCCCTTTTTTCTGGGGAATCGACGATCAATTGTCTCTGTGTGTTTTTTCTCCTCCTGAAACTTGGGGGGGGGGAGAGAAAGGTGCCGCTCTCGGGCCCCAAAGGCCCCCTTCGGGGCGCCGCGGGGCCCCCCCTTCAGGGGCCCCATAGGGGCCCCAGAGAACGCCCCTCCCCTGCAGCCCTCGCTGCCCCCGCCCCACTGGCTGCCCCCGCCCCCCAGTGCTCGACGAGCGCGTTCCACTACTCGCAGAGTAGCTACTCGCAAATGGCCTGGGTCCCCCGCGGGGGATCTGCGATGACTCAAACCAAAGAAGACGGGTGTTGTTTGGACGTCTGTGAGTAGGCACTTTGCGAGCAGTGGGACTGCCCCCGCCCCCCCCACTGCGCGACGCCCAAGAAGAGATCCTCCAGTGGATGCCGGAGAAGTTCAGGGAGGCCGCAAACTCTGCCCAGGCGGGCACGACCGCGTCCGCGAGGACGGGGGTGGGCACCACCACGTCGAGGATCCGCGGCGCAGCTTCCCGAGCGCTGCAGAACCCGAACGTGAGGCTGAGCGCACGTGCCAGAGGTGGAGGTGGAGCAGGAGCGGGGGCGGGAGCGGGAGGAGGAGGAGGAGGAGGAGGAGGACGACGACGAGGAAGAGGAGGAGGAGGAGGAGTAGGAGGAGGAGGAGGAGGAGGAGGAGCAGCAGGAGCAGGAGCGGGAGCGGGAGCACACAAGAACACGGGTCAAGACCAATACCTGTCGGCAGGAAGAGGTGGACAGAAGCATGAAGTAGGAAGGCGCTGAGAGCAGATTGCGCTTCCGCCCACCCCCCTCAAGAGGAGGGAAGAGGGAGAAAACGCTCGACTCTTGAAGCAGGAAGGCGGCTGAACGTCGGCGACCAGCGTGCACACAAAAGAACACGGGTCGAGACCCACCATCGCCTCTTAGAACCCCCCTCCTGCCTTCTTGGAGGGCCAGCCCCCCAGAGCAGACTCGGGGATCTTCTGACCCGGGTCAATCCAGACCCGGGTCAATCAGGCCTGCAAAATCCTGCAAGATCCTGCACCCAAACCCGGGTCAATGCGAAGGATCCTGCAGGATCCTGCAGAATCCTGCACCCAAACCCGGGTCAATGCGACCCTGGCGCTGCAGGATCCTGCAAGATCCGGCACTCTGGCTGACCCCCGTCTGCACTGACCCCCGTCTCGAGGCTCCCGACAGACCCCCTCGGGCGCGCCGCCGGGGGACGGAGGGGCGGGGGCGCTCGGCACCGGAGGCCGGGGGAGCAGGGGGGCAGAGCGGCGGGCGGCGACGCCGGTCCGGGGAGAGTCGGCGGTGGGCGGCCGTCGTCGGACTGGCGCGGGAGGCGGGCCCGAGTGGGATCGGGCCGCCTCGGGACGGAGGCGGGAGCGGATCGGCGTCCCATCATTGAAGGGGCCCTGGGACACACAGATAAATACACACACATAAAAAGATTCCCCATATTTTCCTATATTTTCTGGGTTTTTGTCTTCCCCCCCCCATTTCCCATATTTTCCCATAGTTTCTTGGGGACCGACGATTAATTGTGTCTGTGTGTTGCTTTCCCTCCTGAATCATCGGGGGGCGCGCAGACATGGACTCGCGATCCATGGATGAGGCGCGCGGTCGCCGCATCCATGATGCCCTTGGGGAGGCGCCCCCCCAGAGTGCGGCCGGTGCCGCCTCGCTCGGCGGCGGAGGTCCGCGAGTTCCCATGGGAACGGGGCCCGTCGCTAAAACCACGCCCCCTTGCTCCATGTTTGCGATCGCCTGACATCAGGGCCGAAGGCGACGAGAGCGCCCCGGTTCAAGAACAGGTCTTCGCTTCAGAGCAGGGGTCGTGGCGTTCTGCCGCCGCGCGGGGGCGTCAGGCCGTCGGAGCCCACGAGAGGTCGACCAGAGGCCTGCGGAGGTCTGGTGGGCTCCCTCCTGGGGACTGGCTTCTCATACCGAGCAGTCCTGTGACGGCCCTCGGTCGCCAAAAGGAGGAATATATATATATATATATATATATATATATATATATATATATATTTATATACAATATATATTATATACACGATTGCAAAAACATATTCATACAGAATATATTGAAATGTTAAGAGGAAGGGTAGGAAAAGGAGGAGAGGAGGAAAACACCAGAAATGAGAGAAACAAAAACAAAAAACAAACAAAAAAACGTCGCGCTGTTTCGCAAAACGAAGGGGTCAGCTGCTCGGGCCTTGGCTCGGGCCTCCGGCGGCCGACGGGGACGATCCGAGCGCCCCCGGCACGCCCTCTGCGAGGCAGAGCTGCGGGAAGGCATCCCGAGGCGGCAGGGAGGCCTCCAAGAGCCCACGAAGGCGCCCGAAACTCCCCCATCCCCAGAGATCCAACGCAATGAAAAAATCAAGACAGAGGTTTTTTACAGTTTTCGGCCTCTAGGGGCCCTCGCCGGGCCCCAGGACCGTCAAAAAACGACTCAGGACGAGAAACCGGCCCCAGGGAATGGGTCGAGACTTCCGGGGACCCCGCATTGAAAAAATCGCGACGTCGGATCTCTGGGTCCCCTCCCCCCTCTCCACGCGCCTCGAGGGGCAGACGACCCAAAGACCTTCCGCCGCGATGTCCTGGGCACCGCGCGGGGCTGCCAGCGGCGGGGACGGCGCGAGCCGCCGGGATCGGCCGGCGGTTGACCACCTTGTGGCCCAGGGAGGCGACGCGCTGCAGCCTCGCGGAGTCGCCTTGGGGCCGGAGGGGGGGGGGGGGGGGGGGGCGGGGGGGCGGCGCGGGGGGTGGAACGGGGAGCACAAGGGGGGGGGGGGGGGGGGGGGGCGGGGGCAGAGCTCGGGGCCAGATGCAGCCTACAGTCGACCCAGGCTACAATAACCTAGCCGGAGTCTTCGGGTCTCTAGTTAGAGCCTGGCAAGCCCACACGACCGGGATGGGCGTCGCGCTTTTTTGGGGCCTCTCGAGGGGCCCCGACTGGGCACCGTCGCCCTTTGAGGGGAGGGAAACGGCCATCCCCCCCCCCCCGATCAGAGCAAGGAGCAGGACCCCTGGGGAGGGATCCAGGCCTCTGGGGGTCCTGGATGCCCGCAGGAGCACCCTTCAGGTGAGAAGGAGGTTCGGGGGGGGGAGGAAGGGCCGATGCCTCGCTGAATCCATCTCACCATCGATCGCACTATCGATCTCACTGTAAATCATGACGTCGGGGGCCTGAGTCCCGAGACACGCGCCACACCGCTGGCCTGGCGCCCCGCACCTCTAGGAGCCCTTCCTTGCACAGGCAGTGAGTTTGGCCGCCTCCCCGCCACGTCAGCGCTCGACGAAGTCCCACCTGTGCGACCCTCTCCCCCAGATCCCTCTCCCCCCTTCCCCCCCCTCCCCCCCCACCATCTCTCCCCCTCCCCCCCCCACTCCCCCCCCTCCCCCCCCCCTCCCCCCCTCCCCGCCCACTCTCCCCTTCCTACTCCCTCTCCCCCCCCCGCGCCCCCAACCCCCGGCTCCCACCGGCCCCCCCAACCCCCCCCCCTTCTCTCTCCCCCCCCGCTTCCCCTCCCTACCTGCTCGACGGCCACCACGCGACGGGGGCCGCGCGGCCCCGGCCCCCCACCCCCGCGGCGCGCCGCGCCGCAGCGCCCCGCCCGCGGGGCGGGGCCGCAGTGAGGCCCGAGTCAGGGAAGAGGAGTGCGGTGGAGTGGGCCCCTTTCCCGGGCCCACGGCAGGCCTCGGCCCCACGAGGAGGCTCCCCGACCAGAATACCGGCGAAGCAAGCCCCCCGCGACACGGGAGCCCGCCAGGGCCCGCAGAAGCTCCTTCCCCCTTTCCGCCGTATGGGCTTTGGCTGCGCTGCGCACGCCCGGGGCCCTCATGCAGGCCCCACCACGGGGACTCGGCCGCGCCCGCGCGCCTGGACTCGGGGACCGCGGGCCCACGCACTTACTCCCAAGGTCTCCGGCGATCCCGATTTGCTCAGTCCCTGGAGTCTCCCTTCGGCTTCGGCGCTTCGCCCGGGGCCCGTCGGGGCAATCGAAACAAATGTCGGCACGAAAAAGGACACCCGGGGAAAGCGGCGGAGGACCGCAAAGGAGCCGCAGGCTTGTGGCTTATACTAGGAGGAATGATCGCTTAGTAACATAGTAATGAAAACATGTGCATTGTACGAATAACACGAATAGTAAACATTGTCAATAATACGAATAAACCATACAGTTATTGATATCATTACTAAACAACCACAACCACAACCACAAAATAACAACAACACAACAACACCAACAACACAACAAACAACAACAACAACAACAACAACAACAACAACAACAACAACAACAACAACAACAACAACAACAACAACAACAACAACAACAACAACAACAACAACAACAACAACAACAACAACAACAACAACAACAACAACAACAACAACAACAACAACAACAACAACAACGACAGCAACGACAGCAGCAGCAACAACAACAACAACAACGACAGCAGCAGCAGCAGCAACAACAACAACAACAACAGCAACAACAACAACAACGACAGCAGCAGCAGCAGCAACAACACCAACAAAAACAACAACAACAACAACCACAACAACAACAACGACAACAACAGCCACAACAACAACACGAATAAGAATGATGGTGATGATGATACGAATGATACTAAGAATAATAATAATAATAGTAATAGTAGTAGTACTAATAATAATGACAACAACCATAATAATGATGATAATATCAACAACAATAATAATAATGATGACAATGATAACCCTGTGACGTACCCAACCAATCTGCATCAAGTGACAAGAGGAGTTGACCCAATCTCGCCGGGATAATGACTGTGCAGCCACCGTCATACGATGTGCGAGCTACGTGGGATGCGTTCACGTGGCACGATGCACAGGACAACAGCAGAACGAGAAGCGAAGGCCCAGACTTGAGGAGGACATGGGGGCGGAAACGAAGGGCAGGAGAAGGACGCGTGGGGGGCCAGCCCGTCAGCGCCTCAGCAGCAGAGGGAAGGTGGCAGGGGGCAGAAGACGACGGCGAAAGTGACGGGTGGAGATCGCAGAGTGTTGATTTTGTCGGTAGTACGTTAAAGATGCAGCGTTGCCTGTGCCGTGTCGCCGCGACGCTCGACAACATGATTAAACCTGCGTGTAGTTTGTGCAGGAAGCGAGCGGGGCCTAGCTCGCCGGCCAGTTTCCTTGCTTCCTTCCTGAACTCTTCAATGCGGGAACTAAACGCTCGAAGGCACGCCGCCAGGTCTGCGGGCGGCCCGCGACAGCGTCCCGCTGGACCACCCAGCAGCCCTCGAAAGTGGCGACAGTTTGGCAGATCGCAGCCCCACAGGGGTGACGAGGTCGAATCTGAGTCTGCGTGGGACGTCACTCCGCTGGACCCCCCAACAGCCCTCGAAAGTGGCGACAGTTTCGCAGATCGCAGCCCCCCAGGGATGGCGAGGTCTAATCTGAGTCTGCGTGGGACGTCACTCCGCTGGACCCCCCAGCAGCACTCGAAAGTGGCGACAGCTTCGCAGATCGCAGCCCCCCCCCCCAGGGATGGCCAGGTAGGAGGCAAGCTGGCACGCAGAAAGGAGCGAGGTCAGAGGCAGCAGAGGAGGGGAGAGGGGGGCCGGAGGAGGGAGGTGGAGACCGCAGTGCTCTATCCAAAACGAGTACCCAACGCAGGAGGGTTGGGAATCCGCCGGCCCCAGTGTAGGGCCATCAGGCTGCGAGGATCAAGTTTCAGTACCCTGTACCAGTTGCAGTTTCCAGTCTCCAATGTTACGGTCCTGCTTTCTGCTTCCCACTCTAAAGTGTTGAGATCCGCGAGAGGGGGGGGGGAGCCGAAAAGCGTCCGCTTGCCTTCCCCGAATCGGGTGCTCTGACATCCTGCGGGGCCGTGGGACGGGAGGGCGCGAACTGTACACCTACGCCCTCCCTGGCCAGGCCAATCACGGGCCCAGGATCGGCGCGTGTGCCTACAGGGCCAGGCCGGGAGGAGCGTGCACACCAATCCTCGGCCCAGGACGGACCTGGCCAGAACCAATGCATGCGTGTAGCTGGCGCTACTCAAAATGCTCTTCGCCTGTGCTGTACCGAGAATGGACTGGGCCCCAACGGCGGTGCGCGGCCTCAGGCGCGCGTGCTCGCGTGCGTGCGCGCGCGGGCGCGCGCACGCTTGCTGGGCCCAGGGGTGGCCAACGTCGACGGCCATCATCTGCAGCAGCAGCCACGACCGCCCTCCCAGGTTGGCGATCTCCTCCGTGTAGGCGCGAAGGATATTCCGCGATACCTGCCGCGGTCTGAGTTCCTCCTGCCCCCACCTCCACCTTCCCCCCCCTCCTCCTCCTCCTCCTCCTCCTCCTCCTCTTCTTCTTGTTAGTTCCCTTGGTATTGTTATTCGTCGCATCATTATTCTCATCATCACCGTTATTGATACTAAGTAAAATCACGATGACAATTAGGACGCCAGAGAATAACACGAGCATAATCTTGTTAGGTCTATAGGGCTATGGGGCGCTACAGGGATATAGGACTATAGGGTTATAGCTATATATATATATATATAGAGGGCTATAGTGCTATAGGGCTATAGGCAGATAGAGCTAGAAGGCTATAGGGCTATAGGGCTATAGGGCTATAGTTCTGGGCTATAGGGCTAGAAGGGCTATAAGGGCTATAAAGGCTATATGGCTACAGGACGATTGGGCTATTGGGCTATAGGGCTAACGGGGTATAGGGGCAATATGGCTGTAGGGCTATCGGGCTATAGGGCTAAAGGGCTCTTGGGCTATAGGGCTACAGGGCTATAAGGCTGTAGGGCTATAGGGCTATAGGCCTATAAAGCTATAGGACTATAGGGCTATAGGGCTATTGAGCTATAGGGCTATAGGGCTTTAGGGCTATAGGGCTATAGGGCTATGAAGCTATAGGCTATAGGGCTACCGGGCTAC